TTTAATTTCCACGAGCTCTGGAACCCCTCTTACTGACTTCAGCAGGACCTGGGTCAGGTCAGGAATCAGCAAGCCCATGATGATGGTGTTTCATCTGTTTTTTCTGCTCTTGGTGTGTCAGGCTCTTTAGTAGCACAGTGGAAGTTACTGTAGTGGAGTTCCTGGAGGAACACATTTCTCCTCCTAACTTGAGGACCTACAGGCTAATTCTACACTGGGGGGTGAAGAATGGGCTTAGGAGTAGGAGAAAGTATCCCAGTCCCCTTCACTTCGTGTCCGTGTTGCTGGGTCTTAGCCTGGCAATCATTCAGACTTGAGGCGAGACTCATCTCACGAGCACTAGCTGTATGCGGTGCCTGGTTTTGCTGATCTTTTTCTAGGTGTTTACTTTTGGGTGGAATGGTTCATGCCATGTACACACATGTTTTTATCAATTACATATTTAGGGACTTGAGGGTGACTAGGTCAAATATGAGTGTCAACAATATGGACACGTTTATGTGGCCGAGTAAATTCTACTGAAAGGCTGTTTCCATACTAATAAATGAAACATGCCTGATACTGTTCTTAGCCTTGAGGCCAACTGGGATGGAGAGGCTTGCTTCCATGCAACGGCTGTCTCACCCTCCAAAAAAGGGTGGCTCTGTGCAGACTTCTTGTTAGGAGTGACCTCTGGTCCCTGCTAACTCCTGAACCATGCACAAGAGATATTTGGGAGAGTGCTACTGGCACAGACCAAAGCCATTCCAGATACTGTGGTAATAATTTATGCTATAGATAATCAAGTTCCCATGCTCAGAAATGTTCCCCAGCACTAACATAGCCATAGCTAAGGTAGGCACGCTATATTTAGGGAGAATGGAGCAAGTGAACTGGGCTGAAGCATTTCCAGTCCCACCTTCTCCTGCAGACCATAGAAACGAGAGGGTGGGTCCATGCTCACATGCCAAATGTCTTCTGTCTCTCCCCTAAAGCAAGCTTCAGATCTTAAGCTCAACTCGGCAATGGAATAAAGATTTACAGCATGGAAGACTGACCATGTTTGGTCTTGACCAGTCACTTACCTGACAGATAGACAAAGCCTTCCTCGTAGTCCCAGAGGAGAGAATCGTATTAGGGATGTACCCTGAATGATACCTGACTCACACTGACGATAGCACATCATATTGTCACTGAGGGAGATAAGGGCGACCAGACCAGAACTTCCATCATGGTATGGCCTAGGGCTTGATACGTGTGGTGGGGTTATGGATCAAAACTGTAACACTTCCCTCCCCCCATGCCACTCTCAGGTGATGAGCATTGAGAATCATGATGGATCATCAGCACAGAAAATACATCAAACGCAGTTTTGAAACGTTTCAATGCTGGAAGTTTCCAGTTGGGTAGGCAGGTTGCCTGTTACAAAAGGCATACAGCTTAAGCAACTACTGTCCTGAAAGATTGTTAAAATTAAATTGTGAATTGACATCTCTATCATTACAGCCCTGGAGCAGAGTGTCTGCCTAGGTATTTCATAATGGAGTATCTGAGCCTAGCAACACATGGCTTAGGCTGCTGAATAATTTGCAGTATTATGTAATTTAATAACATTAAACTAGGATGTTCTGATAATAATATTATTTGAAAGCTGTTTAGTTTATTTAATTTCATTTATATTTTGTATGTCAGTTGAATTCGGGGAAAAAAAGATTTTAGAAGAAACTGGGGGGAGCGCGGTGGGAAATTGTGCAATGTACTTATCTGAGACTACATCACATGGTCTGCAAAGCATGGCTTTTGCTTTTATACACAGAGTCTTGGCGACTCTCCCACTAGCAACAATAGTGCTCAGACTCATACTGATGTCACTGTTGAGTTATTTAATTTGACTGAACGAGATTAATGTGTTTATTTAAAACCTTGGTCAAAATGGAAAAGAAAATCTCAGGACAATACTTTTACGTGAACATGTATGTTTTCATATCTGATGATTGTAATGTTGCATTAACTTATCAGGGGCAGTTGTTTACACACGCTAACGCCCGGGAGACCCCCTCAGATAAGAAGTGTGAGCCATTTTCCCTCTCAGCCTGGAGCAGAGACTTCTACACAACTACTGGTCCTGTGGGCTTTCATCCCAGGCTCTCCTCACTTCCTGCTGCTGCTTTCAGGGCTGATCCATGGAGATACCAGCACTGTTTCATTTTCTCACGTGAGGATGGGGTTGGTAGTGCCGAGCAATGACAGCAGTGCGGTGGTGGATCCTCCCCAAGTTCTCACCAGGACAGCAAGGGACAGACACCTTCACTGCACAGGATGCCTAGATGGGGCTGGCGCTGGGCTCTGTAAGCTGAGCCTGCTCCCACAAAGGCTGGAGACTGCCTGCCTAAATTTCATCCACATTATGTTTTACAAGCAACTTGAGAGGGTTTTTTCCTGTGATAAATCATTCTGAACTTATTTCATTCTCACATGTACCCTCTAAGTGTTTGGAATAGACTTCATTATTGACTAAGAGGCATTAGTAACTATCCAGTTAAATGCTCCAGGTCACTGGATTTTTACTAATACGGAGCGGTGAAAAAATCTGGAATCTGAAGCTTCTCTTTGCATGGTGGGACAAGTTTGGGCAGTTCCATGGAATCGATCATTGATTGCTGAATAGCACGAGTGAGGGGATTTCTGCCGTGCTCTGTCAGGACCCTCTCTTGACAGTTGAGGACAACTGGACAGATACATACATTGATAATGTAGAAATTGCATAAGCCAGAGCTCAATGCTGTGGTGGGTGCCTGAAGCAAGGTGTGCCTGCTCTTCCTTCCAGTTTTGTAGTCCCTCTGTTCATATTTTCATGCAGCCTCCTGTCTGCTGATGCTCGAAATATGAATCTCTTGGGGGAATAGCAGCTGCTGTGGGGGCTTGTGACGTGCCAGAGTCGCTTTTATGCTTTCTCTTCTGTGGGGCCAAGTGCTTCCATCTTCCTAGCTCTGTGGAAGGCTTTTGGGAATTTGAGCCCCTGCCCTCATCATTGCTGTTCTCGTGAAGAAGGGAAAAATCTCCTTATGTTTATATGTATCTGCATTTCTCAGGGTGCTGGGGGTCTTAAAGGGTGATGCAGTGGGGCAGAGGAATGGACATGAGAACAAAACAGAAGGGCTAGGAGGAAAACAGCGCTAGGCGGTCATTGGTCCTCAGCAAACATCATTGCACATTGTTTAAGAGGCTCTGATGCCCTGGGCCATGTGTGCTTACCCTGCAGCATGCTCCAGAGCTCTGTGGTGCCGAGGAACCAGTCTTTGGGATTGGCCTCCTGTCTCAATATGTTGTACCTGTGCCTGCACTTGGTGTCCCCAAGTGGCCTTTGAACTCTTACAAGAGCTGTGCATTTAAGGAAACCGCAGAATAATATGGTTTGTGAAGCCCTACTGCTCCCAACACCGGGCAATATCTCTCTGTCTCCTCAGTGGCTGCATATAAGTAGTGCTGAGGACTATGGCCAGGCCTTTACTGGTGGGGGGTCAAGAAGGACCCAAGTCCTCCCACAAAGGTGGAGTAGGGTCGTCCTGGAGCTGGTTCTCTGGAGGCATCCATTTAGAAGCTGCCTCCACCTCCTGCTTTAAGTGCCCTCTGTATAGTTCAGACCTTTGGACTTGGTATGCGCAGGGGGTCCATGAAGTATATTTAAAGCAGTAAATAGCTTGACATACAAGGACGTTTTTCCTCAGAGTTCCAGTCAGTGGAAACATGTCATTTTCAGCTAAAATTAGACTGGCTCCAGCTACATTTAAAAGAAAAGAAAAAAAAAAAAGAAAAAC